TTTTTTTTTTTTTTTTTTTTTTTTTTTTTTTTTTTGTCTGTCTCCCTTTTAGGATCTTATTACGACCGAATAAATTTTCGAATTCCAATTGTCGATATGTTAAGTCGTCTTCTCGCCAATGCCGATTATCGCGCCAACATGAAAAGTTTAGCAGAGACACGCCCAGAGGTCAACTAATTATACTAATACTGTCTCCTTTCTCCTGTCTCCTACTTTCTCATATCTCTTTTCTCCTCTCTCCTCCTCCTGCTGTCGACTGTCGCCGCCTGTCTCCTCATGTTGCTATCTTTTCGTGCTGCTGTCTCCTCGTGCTGCTGTCTCCTCGTGTTTTCTCCCCGGCGCCACGGTATTCTATTCAGTCTGCAGTTGCGGTGTGTCTGCGGTTGAGGTGTATGCATGCTTCCTTGAGGTGTATGCGTCCCTGGGGTGTATGCATGCATATTTGGGGTGTATGGATATTTACGGTGCATGCGTATTTGGGGTGTATGTTGTGGTGACTGCAGAAGTTTTTACATTTAATACATTTACTGCTCAACGATGTCGCAGCTCTTGTTGACCAGGCAATGGAGGCCCTTGTGGAGATAAGGAAGAGACAGTTAGAAGGTATATTTAATGTCTCTTTTCTATTCTCTTGCTGTCTAGTTGCCGTCTCTCCTTGCTGCCGCCTCCTTGCATGCATGCATGCATGCATGCATGCATGCATGCGAACGCCCGTTGGGAGGTGTACATACACCGTAGGAGCCGTAGGAGCCTTCGTGCTGCTGTGTCGACTGCGCAGGCCGAGACAATGACCAGGCCCCTCTCCCTGGTCAGGCTGCTCCTCGCGGTGCTGCTGCTGGTGCTGCTGCTGGTGCTGCTGCTGGGTCTGGAACTTCCACCTCTAGTTCTTCCTCCAGGGCCCCCGCGGCCCAGGGTGCCGCCGCTGCCGGAGAGGAAGAGGAGTCTGACGGAGACGAGGGTACGGTGGTGTTGCTGCTGCCTGTGGTGACACAGCTCGCAGACAGTCTATTCTTTTGTTTGTCTCTGTCTTTTTTGTCTCTCTTATTGTCTCTTTGTACGTTTCCTTGAATCCTTCTCTATGTTATTTATTTCCCCCTGCCCTTCTTTATTCATCTTTATATTAT